TTCCTGGGGTGCCTCCTGGCACTGGCACGGCCCCAGCACGATTCCCCTCTCCACTGTGCCCACTGCTCACTCTATCATGGACTTTGCTCTCAGGTGCAATTGGCCGGGGACTCTCTTGCTCCGGGAGTTTTTTGGGGAGCTGGAAAGAAATGAGCTGCGTTAAATCCCTGGTATGAGGGTGTCTGGGCCAACAGGGGTGCTCCAAACCCTRAGCAGTGATCCCCACGAGGCTGGTTACAAAGCGGGTCTGGAGTCTCTATTTGGCACCCACCCACAGTTTGGGGGCTGTGAAGAGGAGCCTGGACTGGCAGAGCAGACACTGCACTCCCCCTATGGAGAGGACAATGAAAAGAAAAGGAGCAATGACAGCACCATATATAARCTGTCAGTTACCAGATGCAGCGAGAGGCTACCTGGGGTGCCCTGAATGAGCCTGGCCCTACCACAGGCTGCCCACACCCTACCAAAAGGTCCAAAAGGGACCTTGGTGTCCCCATCCAACTYGTGCCCTGCTCACCGATTCCTGCACTGGGAGTCTGGCCCCCAGGTCCATGCTCGTGGGGGTGGCAGCACTGGGCAGGACAGGTGGATGGTCACCAACAGGAAGGTTTGGCTGTGGCTGCTCAGCCAAYGGGGCACCTGGAGCAGGATTCGACCCTCGGGATGGTGTCTGGGCACTGATGGCTGAGGTAGCGGGACGGGCATCACTCGGAAGGGAGGAGTCAGCAGTGGGAGCTGAGGAACCTGCAAGAGACAAGTGGATCATGACATTGTGGGAAAAACTGAGGAAGGAAAAGATAGTTGTGGGGCTGAGGCAGCCCTCTGTGTGTCCCTCYTCTGTCCCCACATTAGCCAAGCCAACAGCACCCCTTCACTCATCTTTCCATCTTCTCTTCAGGCGAGAACCCCAACCCACCTCCAACCCCAACACCTTCAAACATGGATCTGTCATTCTGTCATACTCATATACATCAGCACAGTGAAAGACCTCCCTGGGACAGTCACAGACACCTCCAGCACCCTGGGAAGCTGAGGCAGGGACAGAGACAACAATGTTTCATGCCCCCACCTCCACCAGCCCCCCAGGCACTCCCAGGAAGGATGTGGTTACATACGAGGTCGAGGTTGCCAGGTGTCATAGACTTCCTGCAGCTCGTCGGCCAAGTGCCCCGCGTTGTTCTGGTGCAGCGCCTGGATGAGATCCTGCACCCAGCCCTTCCGGCACCTCAGGTGCTGATAAAACCTAAAGACAGCTGCCTGGTTGCCCCGTGTCTCCTCCCGGGCAAGGAGTTCATCCTAGGAAAAACACACAAGGCATCTAAGCGAGGGTCTGGTTTAAAAGTAACACAGCTGTATGTTCCCCCGGGGGAAGGAGCCTGGCAGGGCTCAGTGAAGTAGGAAATTACTCTGTCAGAATCGACCAGGCAGGTCAGGGAATCGGCCAGCGACGCCACACGGATAGCCGCAAACTTCTTGAGGTTTCCCGTAATGTGTGCGTACACTTTGTCTTCAGCTAAACCCATCCTGGCTCAGCACCTGCAGAGAGACAGAAATACAGGGTGAGCAGAGGCCGCTGGCGAAGCTCAGCTGTCTCCAGAAGCTCAGGCTGTTCCTTAGGCACCCGTATCCTGGCACAGACACCGCGATGAGACAGGGGAAATTCCAAGCGGAAAACACGCAAAGAGAGCATGTTTGGGTTAAAGTTCAACGCTCAGCTTCACTTCCACGAACCTCGCTTCTTTCTACCATTGCCCACTCCGTGTTTATTCCCATTTTGCTTGGATCCATCCGGCAGGTTGGGGGGCCGGCCCGGCGGCAGGGTCACGACAGGCGACAGGGCCACGACAGGCGACAGGGCCCGGGGCCAAGGCTGGGATCCCGCAYAGGCAATGGAAATGCCAAAGGGGAAGGCATAGGACACCTTCCCACAGGGAACGGCGGCCCGCAGGCCGCGACGTGGCTCTGCGGGCCCCCACGGCGGGGCCCCCCCGCCCTCAGCACGACCTTCAGCCCCACCGGGGGCCATCCGAGAGCTTCTCCGCTCGCAGATCCCGCTGGCAGAGCAGCCGGAGGTCGCGGCCAAGCTGTAAAGGCCGCTGCGGTCAGAGCCACCCCGCTGTCCCCGCTCCCGCTCCCCTCAGGGCCCCTCAGGGCCCCTCACCTGCGCCCGCCGCCGCCGCGCGCCCGCCACCGCTCTGACCCCGCCCACCCAGTCGCGGCCGTCGCTGATTGGCCTTGGCGCACGCCCGTCACGATGATTGGCAGGTGGTGATTGACAGGAGGGCGTGTCAGTGTTTGGCTCCTCCGGAGCCGGGAACGCGGAGATCCTGGAGCGCATCCAGCGGGTATTAAAGGACTGGAGCATCCCTTGCGAGGCGAGATTTTGGGATTGGGGCCTGTTTAATCTGGAGAAGAGTGAGAGGGGATCTCATCCAGTAAACATCTTCAAGGAGAGTGTTACAGGATGGTGCCAGACTCCTTCCAGTGGTGTCCAGTGACAGGACAAGATGGTCATAAAGTAAAACACAAAAAGTTCCACTTCAACATGAGGGAGAACTTCTTTATGCTGAGGGTGGCAGAGCACTGGAGCAATGCCCAGGGAGGTTGTGTAGTCTCTCTCTCTGGATGTGCTCCTGTGTCACCTACTCCAAGTGACACTGCCATGACAGTGGGGGGTTGGCCTGGGTGATCTCCAGAGGTTCCTTCCAACCCCAATATTCTGTGATTCTGTGAGTCGGACCTGTTCATCCTCGAGAAGAGACATCTGAGAGGGAACCTCATTAATGTGTATAAATGTCTAATAAATGCATGCCAAGAGGACAGACTGGGCTCTGCTCAGYGGTGCCCAGCAACAGGGTAAGAGACAAAAACCAGAAACTGATGCACAGAAACGTCCTGCTAAATA